AAACTCATGGCCTTTGACCTTGGACAGCTCATTAACACCCAAAAGCCTGTTTCCTCATCTGCAAAGGAGATATGCGCGCGTTAAGCCTGTCTTGGGCTTGCAATAAGAGTCAAGTAGGAACAAATCTGGAAGAACTCTGCAGAAGTCAAGTAAATAAAACTTGCTTTATTAATTAAGAGCCTAGAGTATGGCTAAACCAGTGGTGAAAACTCCAGAAACAGCACAAAGTGAGAGTAAAGACGGAAAGCAAGGTGCGAAGAGGAAGGTCGCAGAGCTAGAACACAACAGGCTAGAAAGGATCAAAAACAGAGTCAGTGCCATGGCCGGTGTGGCTCAGTGGACTGAGTGCCAGCCTATGAACCAAAAAGTCGCCAGTTTGATTCCCAGTCAGAGCACACGGCTGGGTTGTGGACCAGGTCCCCAGTTGGAGGAGGAGGAGAAGCAACCGACTGATCATCAGTGTTCCTCTCCCTCTCTTTCTCCGCCCCTTCCCCTCTCTCTAAAAATAAATAAATAAAATCTTTAAAAAAAATTGTTATGAGAACTCTTCAAATCCCAAGGAATATGTAAGAAACCTCAGAGGAAAGATCACAGTTAAGCTTGCTGAGAATTACCTGATGCTGTTGCTAGGTGGTGCTTATAAATATAAGCACACACCCTAAGATTAACTTCTTGCTTTACTCAGTGGCCATGTCAAGCATCCTCAAATTAAGTGTCATCATTGGAGAACTTAAGTAAAATAGACTGAGCCCAGGTCAGATCAGACAGCAGGAAGTGTGAAAACGTGCTTGCAGCTGCGTGTCAGACCAGTGCTATTCAACATGTTATGAGCACACAGGATCTGGGCAAAATGCAGATTCTCATTCACTGGCCTGCGAGTCTCCATCTCTGACAATCTCCCAGGTGATGCAGATGCCCAACCAGGGACCAGGTGCCAGATGGGTCAGCCGTTGACAGCAAGAGCCAGTCCTAATGCTATGCTCACTGGAAATCCAGTGGTTATAAGAAAAAAGCTAAGAAAATATGTCGAAGGTTCATGACATTGGCAAAAGGCATCTGCCACTCAGCTGTCCAAGACCTTTGCTGCAGCCGCAAGTCCTGGCCCGGATCCTCTGAGGGGTGAGCAGATGGCAGGGCAATCTCTTGGGCACTGACCACCCCTGAGTGGAAGGCGTCAACCTTATGACAGACCTGACTGTCTGGAGAGAATATTTACAACCTGGAGCTACAGGATACAAGAGGAGAGGAAGCAATAAAAACAAGGAGTGGAAATTTATTGAGAGCTTACATGAGATCACACAGTCAGGGGTGGAACTGGGATATGAACCCAGAGTCTGATTCCAGAGCCCACAATGGTGCTGCCGAACTCCACTGCCTGGTGCTGGCCCATGTAACAAAGTGACAGAGGGGAGAGAGTGCAGAAGGGCATTTAAGAGCACCAGTACTTACAAATATGGGACACTGGGCAAATTCTCTCTCTCTTTCTCTCTCTCTCTCTCCCTCTCTCTCTCTCTATTTAGTTTCCTCATCTTTAATATGGGCTCATAATGGTTCACACATCTCACTGGATTTTTTGAGGATTAAATGAAATCTAAATAAAGCACTTAACCCAGTGTCTGACACTTAATAAATGTTCCAGTGAGTGTTTTTCAGTTATTATGATTAAAAAACCCTTACTGAATTACTTGAAAGGCAAGGTGCCATGAACCATGAATTAATTTGGTTTAGAAATAACTTTCCTGACACATACCAAATATGTGGGATGAGACCCACATCCACCAGACAACTGTCCTCCACTAACACATGGTATCAATAACTCACATCCTGGAATCCTGAAGGTCTAGTCATCAATGCAGTGAGGATCGCAAGTCCTCTAGGCATGACCCTGGCGAGACCTCCTGAGAAAATGAAATGAAATGGAATGAAGTCAAACTGCCCAGGGTCAAACTCTTCTCTGTCACTTTCCAGCTGTGTGACATTGGTCAAGGTACTTAACCTTTCTGTGCTTCAGTTTCCTCAACTACAAAATGGAAATAATAGGTCCTATCTCAAGTGGTTGTGCCTATTGAATGAGCCAACACTTATACGTTGCTTAGACCTGTGCCTGACACATCGCTAATATTTAGTGAGGATATACTGTTGTTATGACACATTGGTGATAATGCAGCTAAAGATTAACACAAATAAATAAATTAATAGTAATAATAACTGGGTGAATTGACTCATTCTGTAGACATCAACCTTTTTCTTAATGCATGCATCTGCTGAACAACTTCGACAGGAGTTCTGAATTGAAAACTTCCTACAGTTCCCGTGGCCACCACAACCATGCTCATGAGATACCAAGAGTGGCAAAGTCTACGTGACAAGCTGCTTATCAGTAGGATGTATTTATAAAATGGGGGTTGGGTAGAGAGATTAGCAAAGAGAGCTAAAAATAGTCCTATAAGCAAACAAGTTTGCATACGTCAATAGTTCATTTAAAAAGTCAAATACTTTCACATTACTATTATGAGAGATATTCAAGTAATGTATTGTACCATGCAATTTGGGAGCATGTAGCCTCTTGTCATCTAAGAGTTAGCCACATTCTTGCTCCTTTTATCTTTCTAGATTCTAACATAGAGAGTATCCAGGTCATTCTCTGAGGCTGCACTGAAGGGTCCAAAAGGGCAGAGGCATTCTGCATAAAGTTACCACGTGCTAACCACAGGTATGCAACCTAATCAGTGTCCACTGCTCCGGGCACCAAGATACCGGAACACCATAATCACTGTCGGGTCAGTTGGAAACTCTCCCTGGAAGAAAGCAATCTTGACCAAGTCATAACGTCAAGGCAACTGGATATCAAAATAATTTGAATCTGCTCTTCCTTTTAAATGTTAAACATAACAGGATGTGAATTCACACTTTTTTCTCCCAATCCCAAGAGGAACCAAAGGAGAAAAAAAAAGACACAAATCTGGAGGGTGTGAAGATCTCACTCCATAATCTTCCTGTGTGCCTGTTAGCATTTTTCTGGTTGTACATTATCAAGGCGGCTGGCTGAGGGTCAGGAAAGCCAGAGCGATAAGCTGTAACCCCTTCTTCGCTGGGGAGCAGCCCTGTGCAGCAGAAACACAAGCCTCAAATGTGAGCCTCATGGGTGAGATTTTTTAGGAGCCACATTTAAGAAGGGAAGCATAAACAGGTGAAATGAAGTGTAGTCATACATTTTATTTAACCCAATGTTTCCAAAATACTATCACTTCAACATGTCATAAGTATTAAAACTATTAACGTGCTAGTTCACATGCACATGCCACCTGTACTTGACACTTCCAGAGGATCGCAATCCCGACGGGCCACATTTCCAGGACGCAGGAGCCACGTGTGGATGCTGGCTACCACATGGGATAGAAAAGCTCTCAGATTCAAAGACGGCCGAAATCATCAGTTTCTTAGGTTGTCTCTATGATATACAGGTAAAATAGACCAACTCAGTCTGGGCAAGTTGGCTAGATGGCGACCTTAGTGTCCTGAATGGGGGAACAAACCCTTCTCAAAACAGACTCTGGGTATTTACGGCTTTTACCTCAATGTTTTGTCCCAAGCATTGACAATGCTGTTTATTTTCTACCCCGTGTAGAAGTATTTGTTGTGTTCTCCTTCGTTTTAATTCAGAGCCCAGGAAATTTTGGTCACTGGACAGACCTCTTCTAGGGGCAGAGTGTATCCCTTCCCTTTCCCAGAGGAGCAGGAAAGGGCCAGGCATACCCCACTGACACATCCATACATCACATTCCATGTGGTCGCTGCCTACCGCCCGCCTGGGAAGTGAGATGCGGAGCGGATCAGTGTCCACTTACGCCCCAGTCACGGGTGAGACAGTTTGAAAGATGACCTCGTCTTACCAGTGTTACCTACCTCACAGGCTTACTGTGATGACCAAGGGCAATAACAGAGAGAGAGCTCTTAGCGCACTGTAAAGCGCTATACAATTCTAGTTATTATTACTGAGAAAGGACATCATCCCTCACCTGGAAGAGCAGATAGAAGAAGGGGGCGGTGGAAAGCAGTAACTTGAAACAGAGATGCTGAGCTGAAGCCGGGGCGGGTAAGGGACCCATGAAAATATTGGCTGTTCTTGGTGGACGTGGTCCTCTTGGAAGAATACGGAGGCCTGAGAAACCTCTATTCTTTTTTTTTTTTTCTTTTCTTTTTTTTTTCCCCTGGAAATCTTCAGAGGGAGTAAAACAGTAACCGCGACATTTCAGAGTACGCAAGCGTCTACCCCTGCTCCATCACCCCTCTCCTTCCCATCCTACTGCTTCCTCTCCTCCCAAATAAGCATGACTCAGGTCAGTGGTTCAAAACAGACTTCTTCCCAGGGTCTCATTGTGGCCTAAACATGCAGCGCCACCGGGGGTACTGGCGCCTTCCCGGAGCAAAAGTCACCGAGTCCCGGGGAGTCTGGCTCATGGTTTCTCCCCGGCGCGAAAGCCTCAGCGTTGGCTCCGGCGCTGCCCTCTCGCCTTCTCCAACAAAAACAGACGGTCAGCGCGCGGCTGGAGTCTCCCTATACCTGTCCAACCGCCCCGTCACGCCTGCGACTGCTCCGCGCAGGCTGCATTTACGAGGTCCGAGGGGAGTCACCCACACAAAGGCGCTTTGTGCCTCGCGTTCCGGGACGGGCAGTCGGGGCGCCGGGCACCTCACCCAGGCGAGGCAGAGAGCGCGCCCCCCCAGTCCCGACACTGGCACCCCGAACACTCACCCTCAATAGAAAAGCCATCCTTTCTCCCTGATTTAAAGATGGGGTTCTCCTCAGCTTGCCAACCCACTCCCCCGGAAGCAGGCACAGGAACTAGGGGCGCACAGGCCACTCTGAAGAAGTTTGCATTGTCGCCGCGCTGCACTCAATGCTTCTCGCCCGCGGGCGGTGCTGAGCACCCCCTATCCCAGCTCCCCGCCCGCCCGACCCCCAGCACTGGAGACGCCGGGCCCCCACGGCTGCTCACCTCTAGTCCAGTCCACCACTTGCTTGGGGCTCCACTTGGTCACGGGTTCCATGGTAAAAGGCTTCGCTCCCAGCCGGGCTAGAGTCGGCGGTAAAGTGCTGCTGCCCGCGTCCACTGTCCTTCCCGGAGGGCGCGCCCTGCGACTGTCCCCGCGCCCCGTCAAGGATGCATGGCCGCGGTCAGCGGGTCATCCCAGCGCGGGGCAGCGCTGCGTCCTCCCGGCACCCGGGACAGCAGTGCAGCTGCTCCTCCAGCTGCCACCGTCCAGCTGCAGCTCCTTCTCCTGCTACCGCCGCCGCCGGGAGCCCGACACAGCTGCTGCTCCCGGGCGATCGCTGCTGCGGGGACGCGGGGCTGCAACCCCAGACCCCTGGTCTCCCCTGGCCGGCTGCTCCCCGCTGCTCCTCTGTGCCTACGGCCGGGGCCACCCCCTCCGGTTCTCGGGCCGCGCGTTCCTCTCCCGCTCAGCTCCTCCTCTACGCGGCGTGCTCTCCCAGGCTCCCTTCTCAGCGTGCGCTGGCGTCCCGGAGCCTTCCCGCCCGCAGGTCCCACCTCCTGCGCCTCCCTCTTGGCTGCACTGGGGCTGAGAGTAGAGTAGGGCCAGCGCGCTCGGGTTACAAAGTTTCAGCTCGGGTCGCTGCTCAGGGAATAAAAGAGGAGGCGGGGCCTCGGCCAGCGAAACTCGTGGGAGGAGGTGGGTCCGCCCCAAACAGGCGACTCGGATTACTTTCCCTCTCTAAGCCCTCCGCACACACTCCCCGGGCGTCCCGGGCCGTACTTTCCTTTTCAAGGGGCGGGTGTAGACCGTGCGTGCTTCCTGGAGAGCCCGCTGGCTTGGGTGAGGCGCGGGTCCTATTGGTAGCAGAACAGTCTGTCTCGGTGTGAGCAACAATACACTCAAAAAAAGAGAATCTGCATGTCCTGTTCGTTTCAAAGTCTTTGTATCGCTATCGCTCTGCAGTGAAGCCTTCCTTATTTTAAATTTCTTATGGTAAAATTATTTTACTCTATATTTTGGATGACAGTGATAATTTAAACTCACTTCTCTTTGAATGCTACTGCAATAACTTTCCGACCAAAATGAATCATAATAAATTGGTTATATAGTGCCGTATTATAATAATTCATATTTGCAAAGTGAGCTAATGCAGTTGGGAAGTCGTCAGCCCCCGTCCCATCCCCCCCCCCGCAAAAAATAGCACGTGCACAGTTTCAGCGACTAACACGACGGGGGCCCATCCACATTGATGGGGCTCAACTTAGGGCCAGAGCGACCCCTGATTTGAGGGGAAATCCAAAATGAAATATTTACCTTTCCTCCTTCAAGCTCCTCCAGCCCCAGGGAGCTCGACCACTCACTCATTGTTGGAGGTTCTTTTGGCACTTAATGATTCTTACATTCAGTTATGATTAATTTATTTATATTCTCCCTCCCCTCAGAGACTGCTAACCCTTCGAGGGCAGACCCTACCACGTAGCTGGTAGAACGTAGTTCGGACTCAGAGGTGCGGTTGGTGCTTATTCATTCAATAAATATCTGTGAACACTTCCTATGTGCCAATCATTGCACTCAATAAATATTTGTCGAATTGGCGTGTTATGTACTGTTTATACAGGTCTATTTGGATGCACGTGTTGAAATGACGGCTCGTAGCAAGCCTAAGCATCTGTTGTACAGTGTAGTGAGCTAGAATAAACAGGAAGAATAAATATTTTTAAAAGTAAAACAATATCAGACCCACCTTCCATGCAGCTTATCTATAGGACTAAGGAACTACAACAATGCACGCAGGGACATGCAGCTATCAAATGCAATGATTTGAATTTCTTCCTTTTTTTTTTAGAAGAGTCATTGGCAGACCAGGAAATTTTGCAAAGGCAATAACAACATTCCTGATAAAGTAGTTGTCTTTAGGAATAAAAATTTAAAAAAATGACCCTTTAAACTTAATAACATCCATTGTTAAGCATCTTTATGACAATAGGTAGGGTGAAGGACCTTGACATTTGTCATTGGGTCTCCTGTAAAAAGTAACCAATCTTACCCACACCTTTAGTTACATCAGTCACTGTTTGCTGTGTCATTTTTTATTATGATTAGAGTGACCACATAATTTACCTCCAAACCAAGATATTCCTGAATATGAAAGGAGATCTACTGATACTTACATTGGAATAACATAAATATATTGGGCCACATGTTCCCTGTAATTATGAAGAGAGGTCAAGTGTTAATGATTTTGCCATAGAATTTTACTTGACGTTTTCCCAGTGTTTTCAAATACATTTGCATTAGTCATTACTAGAGAGTTAAAAGCTAAAATGGTGGGAGTCAGGCAAGAATTTTGCACAATTTCATCCCACTGAGTCAATACACTGTCCATACTCAGTACATAAATATATCATAGCTAAAAAAGGAAGGCCATGGTAAGATCTCTAAACAGAACACCAATTAACTATCTAAATGAATTAGCGTTCTGTTTACACTTCAAGTCCTGAGGGCTAATTACTATTTAAATAAGGCCTTCTACCTTAATTACAGCTGTTAGCATGTGAAAGTTTTAGGAAGGCCTGTCTTCCTGACTTGACAACAGGCAAAGTCACTGATGACGTATAGTAAAGGCAGAATCTTAGGTAAATTGCTTTGGAAATTAAAGTGGGTACAAAATGATTAGTTACAGCTTTACTGAGTTTTCTTCTCTACTAGGTCTAAACTGCAGCTGTGCGGTTACCGTGTGCGTGCCCACATATTACCAAGTCAAACAGCTATGCTGTCTTTCTCAGATGCTCACCTCCTCCTAGGAACCTTGATGTTTACCACACACAGTTCCTGACACTTAACCAGGAGCAGAATGAGTCCTTTTTCAAATTGAATTGAACCTTTGCCCCGGCCATATAGCTCAATTGGTTAGAGCATTGACCTTATATGCCAAGGTCGCAGGTTTGATCCCCGTTCAAGGCACATACAAAGATCAACCAGTGAATGCACAAGTAAGTGAAACAACAAATCAGTCTTTCTCTCTCTCAAATCAATACATAAGAACCTCTAAAAATTGAATCGAACTTGTAGAACTGATACTAGACTCTAGATCCCCTAGATTTCTCTTACCAGCTTCCTGCTTTTTCTAACTTTGGGTCTCCTTACATATGTAGGTCATTTATTCAATCAACGAAATATTTATTCAGTACTTGAAAGACACTGAACTAGGCACGAGGAGGATTTAGAACACATACAAGTAGCCCTGACAGATCAACAACATCATGTGATTTTTGTCAGGATGGGGATTCTGTGGTCTTCAGTCAGAGGAAAGGATGCTGGGGGAACCAGACAAGGGAATTTTAAGGATTGATGTGATATTCTCACCTTGAGCCAGTCCATATTTTATTATTTGTTTCATTTGAGAACTAGGAATGGAACCTTTTGGATTAGCGGTTATGCCTAGAATTTATTTGATAGACAGAGGAGGAACAAAATAAGTAAACTTTTAAACAAATTATTAATCTGTAAAGACCCAAGCTCTTTCCCCAATCTAAAACAATGTTTTCCAAAATGAAAGAAAAAATGAGTAAGTAAAGCAAGATGCTCCAAATACTACACTTTATCTCACAATCTAAGATTATCAGTTTCTTCCCATCTGATTGCTTTTTCCATTTTCATAATATTCAAAATTACTTAATATTTTCCTCACATATAGTTGTCTCATGCTTGCCTCTTAAGTTATGTTATCTTTTATCTTGGGAGACACCCATTCTTATCTATGACATCACCTCACTGCAAAGTCATTGGTTTACTAAATTACCCAGACTACTGATGATCCTGTCTTTCATTTAATTCCATTTGGTCTGAATTCTTCCCACCAAAATAATGTAGTTTTCTTCTTAAATATGCCAGGTTTCCTAGCAGATAATTCAGGTGGTAAGTCCTCTGTTTTTGTTTTTGTTTTTGTTTTTTTTTTGGTTTGTTTTCTTAAGTCTCACAAATGCTGCCCTACTTATTGGAATTCTTTTGATCATTCGGTCACTTTAATGAAGTCATCCTACAGTTGGAAAACTGACATATGGACTTTTTTTTTTTCTGAGCCCTATCTGTAACTCAGAGATCAATGTCAAGTGAGTAAACATTCAAAACCCTCACCTATTTTAAGTCAGAGAAATTGATTCAACTTTTCTAACCCAAAAGAGAAACATCGACCTGGTAAATCCCATTTTCCAGGGTTGATAGCTGTATTTTTGAAGCGTCATCCTGTGAGGCAATTGCTCAGGAAAGAGTTGAGCTCCATTTCCTGCAAGTGCTCCAACACCCAACAAAAGGGGCATGTTATAGAGGGAGAAAGAACAATCAAGTCTACATCCCCCCGGCGGATTTATGATACTTTTCGTTCCAGCTATCAAGTTGCAGAGAATCCAAAAAGAATAGACCGCCATCTGCACCAGTTGTTCCTACAGTATCCATTTAGGTTTGCAGACTCATAATCTCCCAACAAGTACATGTAATACCAAGAGTTTCAGACTCAATGGTTTTTGTTTCAGACTTAAGTTTCATGCTGATAATAACAGACAAGAGAAAAAAAAAGATTGATGGAAGTCATTCTAAACCTTGAAATAAAACCACAATTTAATTAGGCCTAGTAAACTTGTAGCATGAGATGTAAAACACAGATCTGAGTATCGTGAACACACTAAGCCCAAATTTTACAAAATTCTCTAAAGTGTTAACAAAAAGAACATAAAAATAATTTTTATTTACTATTCTGTGTTTTTTGGTTTTGAGTTTGGCGTAACAGAAATATTTTATAATGCCATTTTAAAACAAATAGAATATACGAGGCTCCAGACTATAGTTAAGCAGCTTTAATGAACTTTGGGTTCAGTCTACAAGACGTTTGCTCTTTCACTATTTAGGTACAATTGCATAAAGAAAGAGAAAATTTCTTCTAGTTTCATTCAGTCAAGGGTATTTCAATTCTGCAGCCACTGCTAATCAACAAGTCCAGATTTTCACTAAAAGCACATTTATGCCTCCCATTTGGGACCCTTAGACATTTGAGCCTATAATGGGACCCTATTCCTTAATTTTCCACAACTAGACCCTTGTATTTGAAAATACTATAATCATTTGGGGAGGGGGGAAAAGGTGGTAAGAAAAAGAACACAGGAGAAAAGCAGGAAGTATTTCGGTCCACTTCAACATCAAAAGGGAAAGGATGAAAATGAATACCCATCA